AATTCAGACATGGGGCCTGACAAAAGATTTGAAACTGATTATATGAAAAAGCTTATAAATATATAAAAATTAAACTACATTGCATTAAAGATTTAATGTACTGCCTTTGCTTTAAAAAAAAATCCAATCAGGACTGTCCCAGAAAATTAAGTCATATGGTCCCTCACATTCAGTGAATGGAGAAAATGACACTGACCTTTGAGTGAATTATTCCCAATTTTCATTCTTTGCATTTTGATCATGACATCTCAATGAAGGCGCTATAATGAGATCAGTCCATATGTCTTTACCTTCCACACAAATATTAACTTTGATCACCCAATACCTTATGTAAGGTCATGCTTTATAGGTTTCATAATCATATAATCTCATATAATAAGAATAAATCATAATACTAAAGCATTAAAAATACAAGTACAATGTAGAAAATACAAAACTGGCATTTATTTATCTTATTTACCAAGTAACTAGCTATAAAGATACAATTTTTGCCTTTGAGTTTAAAGACTTTATTTTTGCCATATTTATTTTTTGTAGTCATATGCTAAAATCAGCATCTTCTGCATTTTTATCTGTATCTGACTGATCATTTACATTTTACACATTTATGTACTTAAGAATCATGTTTCTTCATGATCACTGATGCTCAGTAATATGTTATTCTTTCATATGTTTGAGTAATACCGATCACGGTTCTGAAAGTCTCTGCGAGCATATCTTGCATAAGTCTTATCATGAGGAATCCTGCCAAAAGGCTCATGGTCATTGAAACAGGATTCAAAAACTTCATCCACAGCCTGCTGAGCCAACTCTGTGCTGATATTCCGAACAGCCAAGATAGAAAGAACGGCTCTGTCTCGCACACAGGTCTAAGGAGAAGGAAAAGTACATATAGTTTTAATTTGACGTGAAAATTTAATCATGTAATATCATTTATATACTGAACCAAATTAAAATAATTTTCTTTCATGTTCTTTTATAAATTTCTGCCATTCTAAAAAAAGAAAACAAAATTAACAAAGAAACATAACTCTCAAACTATGGAACTTGTTTAGAT